GTATGAGTTTAATGAAATTTCAGTTAGAATCACAACAGGGCTTGGATCTTTTTAATTTGAAAAATATCTTAACAGTTTTATGTGGAAGAATAAAGTGTCTAAGAATAGCTAAGAAAGGTACAAAAAGAATAGTGAAGATTGCTTTCACCCACTAGATATCAGAAGATATCATAGGCTCACTGTAATCAAATCACTATGGTATTGGCATAGCAAGATAATACTAGATTAGTGAAACAGCCTAATGAATCCAGAAATATATGCTAATATATATGAGAACTTCATATGATGAATGTGTTGATTCAAATCAGTGGCAAAAGGTGCCATCATAATAGGCTATTGATCTGGATGGAAATAAAACTAGACAAATCCCTCTCTCATGCATTATGACAAAAGTAATTAGCAGATAATTGAAGCAATGCATATAAAAAGCAAAACAGTAAACATTTTGCAAGAAAATCTGGGAGACTACACGTACAATCTTGAGGTGTGGGAAACATTTTTAACCAACCTTGCCAACTCTGAAGACATGAAAGAAAATATATTTCTGCTTATAAAAATTAAAAACTGTTTTGGTAAAAGTTATAACAAAGTCAACAGACAAACAATAGATCTTGGGGGAAACTGCAATATACATGACAAAGAGTTAATACTTGTAATAATAAAAGGGTTCTCCTAATTTTCTTTTAAATGAAAGAGTCCAAAGAATAATGGGCAAAGCATATGACTAATTAAATCCCCCAAATAAATTCAATAGCCAACAAGCATTTAAAAAGATGCTCAAGTTACTAGAAATAAAAATAACACAATGAAAGTAATGATGTAATATCACTCCACACCTGTAAAATTGGCAAATTTTAAAAACAGGATAAAACTTATCACTACGTGAGTGCAGAGAGAAGGCCATTTTCATACTTCGATGGTAGAAATGTGTGAAAAGTTCTGGCTTCTTTGGAAATTAAAACTTAGAAGGAAACATTCCCTTCGTTCCATTAATATTCGTCTTGCAAATTAGTTCGACAGAAGTAAAAGCACCAGTATGCAATGATATAGGATATAGTAGCCAAAAACTGGAATAAAGTGAACGTAGATACAGCCATACCATAGAATCTTATATAGCCAATAAATATAATGAATTAAGGCTATGCCAATTGACTTACAGTTCTAGCAGGTGTTAATGAGTGAGAAATGTGTGTACAATGTCCTAATTTTATAAAACAAATAGTGTCCAAGAAAACCTTTGTCTGTGTGTATGTGTATGTGAATATATATGATCATACCGGGGTTACCCAGTTGAGGTGGGGGAAAAGGGGACTGATGTGGAAAGAGGGTGGGGAGCCAAACAGAAAGAACCAAAAAGACTATAAAGTATGTACAATATGACCACATTTAATGTTTACATAGCCACTATCTATGTATTATATTTAAATCTTTATAATACACATTTAAAGAAGACAAAACAAAATATAAAATAAATGATTTCAACATTCAACTCAATAAGCAAAAATTGAACAACAAAATGAACCAAAGGAAATTAGAAGGAAGGAATGAACTAATGAAAGTAGAAGCAGAAACTGATGCAACACAAAGAAAAAAGAGATTTGATAAATCAAACCAAAAGAAAATTCTTGACAAGACCAATAAAATCAAGAAAACTCCTGGAAATATTATTTTTAAAAGAGAGAAGAGAACATATACAACATAAGAAATGAAAAAGGAAATATAACTACAGACACAGAACAGTTTAACAAAATCACAAGAGACTCACATGTAACTTGATACCAATACATTATCAAATCTAGGGATAGATTTCTTTCTATGAAAATATAGACAAAAATATACCAATATTTACTGAAGAAGAGGTAGAAAAATCTGAATCAACTGATGACCATAGACAATATTGATAGTTATTTAGTACTCTCCCTAAATGCACCAGAAAGCCCCAAACATGAAAAGCTTCTGAACTCATGGCTCATATTATCCTTACACCCAAAGTAGAAAAGATATTTAAAAAACACACATCGCATGTACACACAAGAGACCCAGACATGAAATTCGTGTGTGATATTGATTGGATTTCATTGCCTTCTCTCTATGGAAGCTTGGGCAGGCAGAGGGAAGTTTTGTCTTTGTCCCTTCAACCTCCCTATACTCCAGTCTCTAGATTCTGGAGGAGCAGCATGTGACAAAGAGGAGCAATGGACAAAACAGAACAAAATATCAACAAATAGGTCAGACCTATGAAAAGAACTGGCAATTAGCATTTGTGCTAATAACACAGATGTGAGCACAACTTACTCAGAAATGTTTCTTTGGGGCCCAGGTAGCATCACAACCATCCTAACCCGATGTCTGCACCTTCCTCCAAGCAGACTTACACCCCCACAATCCTGGCCCCTCATCAGACCCCACAGAACATGCCTTTACCTTGTGTCCACAGGTAGCTCACCGAGATCATTTTGCATATAGTCCCATGACAGTTCCACTGCACCCAGGTAGTATCTTCTGGTGGCACTAAAGCAGAATCGCAAAAGGCACAGAAAGAAGTAGGTGGAGAGCTCTATTTGCATGACTTATTGCCACAAATATTCAACTGAAGAAGCAAAAGGTTAATTCTTCTTTAAAATATCTTTAGCTCTCAGGAGGGGAAAAAAGTAAAATTTCTGATTTAATGAAAAGTGCCAATTTCTTTGCAGAGCATTTTAAGGAACTTTACACACTGGATGTGCTTAGCACTAAGCAGTAACCGACAGGATTGCTTCCTTTTTATCAGTGGGAAGTAGCCACAGGAAGAACTGAAGTAGGAAAAGGGAGGCTGCTAAACTTAACCCATTCACTTCTGAGAGCAGTAGGGGCATGAGAAGTCTGCTTTAATCAGAACCTTTAAGGAAAGGAGGAGAGGGATGGATAAGTCAAAGTGAACAGGAGCTTTAACTTGTGCTCCTATTCCTAGCCTACTACAACCCTCTTCCTGATTGGCAGCAGCAAGAGAAGTTCTGGATGTTGTCGAAGATTGTAGAATTCACTTGCACTAGCAAGAGTAACCAGCAACCTGTTAGTCTCTCTGCTTCTGCACTTGCCCCCCACACTGCTGCTAGTGTGAGGAATTTATAGTTTTTAAAACTATAGTTTTACATAAAACATGAGGTTAGGCAACTATTGTTTTAAAAACTATAATTTATAGTTATAATTTAAAACTATAAAGCAAATCCTACCACTCCTCTTCTCAGAATCCTCCAATGGCTTCTGACCTCCATCAGGGTAAAACCCTACATCTTTACCATGGCCTAAGTACTAGAGCATCCCACATGGTTGGCATGCCCTTTCTCCTGACCTCTGTAGTCTCATCTCACTCTGGTTATACTGGTCTCCTTACTCTTCCCTAAAATACCAAGCACACTCATGCCCCTGGACCTCAATACTTGCTATTTCTTTTCCCCTAGATTTCCACGTAGTTCCTCTCCCACAACTCCTTCGCATTTCAGCTCAAATCTTGCCTGTTGAATGAGGTTTAAATATGGAACACCACATTTATGTTGTAAGCTCTTTACCCTACCTGCATTACTGATATTTTTCTCAATAGCACTCATAACCACCTGGCATTTATTCATTTATTTATTTTGTCTTGTTTTTAACCTAACACTTTTCCGGGTTGTTTACATTTGGCCCAGGTATAGAATCTTTACATCAGAATGTAGCCATGGTGAGCTCAAACACCCTACTCAGGTTAATGTGTATTAGGAAGAGTGAGGTCTCCCACAGGGGCCTCAAAGTGTAAAAGCTTATGAGAAGAAACTTGATCAGGGTTGCTATAAAAACGTTATCATTGAGCTCAGTTCTGCACAAACAAGAATGTGTTTAGGAGCAATTGGTATACTGTTGACTGGTTTGGAAACAGGCGGCAAGAAGTCCCTTTGATAAACACTCCTCTCCAACAGGTACAAGGATGCAGAGATGACAGCTGATACTACATGCCAGGAACTATTCTAGGTGCTTTTAAATACAGGTACTACTCTTACCTTCATTTTAACTGAAGCACGGAGAGGTTAGGCAACTTCCCCGTGGTCACCCAGCTTGTGAGTGGTAGCATTCAAACCCATGTACTCTGGCTCCAGAAGTCATGCTCCTAACCACTATGCTATACTTCTATGCCTCAGAACTGAAGAAATCCCAGTTCCCAATCCTCTGGGAATAACAGTGCAATGGAGGAGACAGAAAAGTAGACAGTTACAGTACAGGGTGATAAATTCTCTGCCAGGTGCTACATAGGCTATCTGATTTAATCCTCATGACAACACGGCAATGTGGACACAGATAAAGTAACTGAGGTACAGAGAGGTTAAATGGCTTGCCTACAGCCACACAACTACCGATTTATTTTTACTCAACTCCTATGGTGCTACAAAATCCTATATTAAGCAGTATAATTGAAAAGAAAAAGAAAACAATAGCACAGTGATTATAAAGAAAATAGCTTGATTGTGTCAGTCCTAAAGTAGTGGATCAGATATCACTGTTTATTATCATTCACTAATTACATTTATGAATAATTTTTAAAAGTAAAGGAAAAGACTGGCTGTTTTAACTAACATAATAGAAACTTGCTGAATTTTCTGTTGAAGATATATTTTGAAGTCAGTTTTATTAAGTATAACTCACATGTAAAATTCAAAAGAAAAATTAAATACATAAATAAAATGTGTCTTCCTCCACTAAAAGAGTAGGGCACATCGCAGGAGCCGATAAATATTTGTTCAATGTTTACATGAGCAAACACGGTCACTCAGCCGTCTTTATTTTCAGTGAGTCATAGGTAAAATATTCTTCACCAGGTGAGGATTGAGTCGCAGTCGCGTCAGGAACTCGCCTCCAGGTACTTAGCGAGCGAGCCCCGACGGCCGCGGTTGGTGGAGGGGGGAAAATGGGGGACAGTGGGGGGTGGTTTGGGGAGACTGAGGTGGGGAGTAGGGGGAGAACTAGGGAGGGAGCCTCACCCCCGCGAAGCTTTCTGCGCACGCGCATCTCGGTGCATCTGTTGGGCGGGGCTGCGGGGCCTGTGACACCGCCCGCTGAGCTCTGTGATGTAGCCGCTTGCGGAGACTGGAAGCAGGCGCGGCGCGCCCGGCCCGCCCTCTTCCGCTGCCGCTGTGGGAATGGAAACATCTGCCCCACGTGCCGGAAGCCAAGTGGTGGCGACAACTGAGCGCCACTCCGCGGCCTGCCGCGCAGATCCTCTGCGTGTGTCCTCGCGAGACAAGCTCACCGAAATGGCCGCGTCCACTCAAGGTAAGGGCGGGCGCGCGCGCGGCCGGCGCCGCGGGGAGCCGCCTTCCTCGGCTCCGGAAGGGGAAGGGCTCAGCGCCCGCCAGTCCCGACCGAGCTCCCCCGGGAGCCAAAGCGGCGCGGGGACTGGGAGGGCGCTTGGGGCTCGCCTCTGGCCCATCCGCTCCCAGGGTCCAGCCAAGGTCACGCGCGTGTCTGGGGCCTAACCACCCCGGTGTGTCGTCTCCAGTGGAGCTCACCCAGCCTTCCGGCGCCGCCCCCGGCAGCTGAAGCACGGAAACGTTCTGTCCCTGTTCTCGGAAGCGGTCTAGCTTCTTTGTCCCTTTGGACGTTCATCTCAAATGCCTCATGGCGTCGTTCCGTGTACAAGGCACCTCCCCAATTGCTTTATTGTTGGTTTTGAAAAACTAGCACATATGGAATGGTACTTAAGAATAGCCTTCTGTTTAGTCGGCGTAGTCAAAGATTCCGTGTAATTCGCAGTGGAGCACGTCTTTAAGTTATACTTCTTACCCTATTTTGAATGCTTAGGTTGTATTTAATTTAGTACTGACTCACAGGATCCCATTGCTAAACAGAGCCATGATCGAAAACTCAATTATATAAAAGTAAAATTACATAAAGTATGTTAAAGGCAGTGGAAATACTAAAAACTCATCACTTTTATTATTTACCATCTTTTATTGTTTTTGGGGTTTGCTTTTGGGGTTATTTATACATCTATTGTATCTCTGTGGAGGAGATACTATACTATGGTGCTCTACTGTGCATCTCTTCCCAACTCTGGGTTCAGTGGTGTCACAATTCAGTAATGTCATGCTCACGATGAATGAATACACAATGGAAATTGGCTACACTACAAATCAGCCCTTGCCTAAAGCCAACTGTTAAACATTTTACCAGCACACCGCTAAATTTTAGATGACTGGGAAGGTGGAATGTGCAATGTGATAATTATGTATTTACCTGCAGAGCAGACTTCTCTTATTGACTTTAAACGTATAGGTCGATTAGGTATTTGCACCTAGGAAATTGTTGTGAGAAATTTTGAGGTTAAGATGAATTTTAATTGTTATCACAGTGATGATCACATAATACTGTGATCATTGATTTTGTGGGCTCATAAACGTGGCTAGTGGCTGACTTTGTCTCTCATAGTGCTTAGCAGTGTTTGACCAATGACTGACCAAATATCTCGCATTTAATCCACCTTCCCCCCTACTCTCTTTTTTAGGGACTAGATCTGTCATTCAGGCTACAGCACAGTGGCACAATCATAGCTCACTGCAGCCACAACTGGGCTCAAGCGATCCTCCCACCTCAGCCTCTAATTCCCCCTTTTGACTGGAGCCACCTGTTGATCTAAGGGGCTTGGTCAAATTACATTAAAACAAAACTGTAATGTTTTGCTGTTACATTAGAAAAATAATTTTTTTTTAGAAAAATATTTTTTAGAAAAATAAATTATTTAACTACTTGTGAGGCGATGGGGTACTCAAACATCCATATTTTGTCTGCTAAATGGGCATCTGTGATGTATCCTGAATGAATTCTTGAATATTTTGTGTATAGTTTAAGGTAGAGGTTGAGAGTAGTTTTTTTTTTTTTTTAAGAAAAATATGTAGTAGTTGTAACATCACTTGTTGTTTCCTTCATTGAATTACCTTGCTGCTGTGTTATTAAAAATCAAATGACTGTATGTGTGGATCTATTTCTGGATTCTTGATTCTCTTCCATTGCTATATTTGGGTATCCTTGGGTCAGTTTGACAGTATTGAATGTCATCGCTTTATAAGTCTTGAAATTAAGGTAGTTGTATATTATACTGTAGCCTTTATAATAAGCCTTGAAATTCCTTGAACCCTCCTCTTTCCCCTGCCCGCTCCCGCCCCCAGGATTATTCTGGCCGTTTGTGGCAGTTTGTATTTTCCTGATTGCAGCAATATTTACGATTCCTCGTGGTCTTTTTCCTAGTGACTTTGACACTTCTCCCACCCAGGGGTGGGGTCTGTATTCCCTCTTCATGAATCTGGATGGGAGCTTGTGACTGACTGCCTGTTCCTACAGAATGTAGTGGAAGTAATAACTGCATTTGCTCTCTCCCTTTCTTGGGACTTTCACCTCCTGAACTCTGCTCCTATGCTGTGAGGAAGCCTAGACTGATTCACAAAGAGTAGCTGCCTGTCTATCTGAATAAATGTAGAGTCTTCAGACCCAGCCTGTAAATCTTCTGGCTAAAGCCTCAGACATCATGAAACAAAGACAAACCACAGTGCCGTGACTGAATTCCTGATAGAATCTGAGAGCATAATATATGATTGTTTTGCTTCATGAAGTTTTGGAGTAATTGGTTGTACAGCCGAAGTAACTGGAACACAGCTGGGTTTTTTTGTATCTTCATATGAATTTTAGAACCAGTTTGTCAATTACATAAAACTTACTTTTTTGTTGGGTGCGGTGGCTCACGCCTGTAATCCCAGCACTTTGGGAGGCTGAGGCAGGTGTATCAGCTGAGGTCGGGAGTTCGAGACCAGCCTAACCAACATGGAGAAACCCCGTCTCTACTGAAAATACAAAAAATTAGCTGGGCGTGGTGGTGCATGCCTGTAATCCCAGCTACTTGGGAGGCTGAGGCAGGAGAATCACTTGAACCTGGGAGGAGGAGGTTGCGGTGAGCCGAGATTGCGCCATTGCACTCCAGCCTGGGCAAAAAGAGCAAAACTCCATCTCAAAAACAAAAAAAAAAACAAGAAAAAAGCCTACTTTTTAATTGGGATTGTATTGAATATATAGATCAATATATGGAGAGAATGAACATCTTAAAAATATTGAGTCTTGCAAAACATAAACATAGTATATCCCTGTTATTTTAGGTCATCTTCAATTTCTTTGCAGTGTTTTGTAGTTTACAGTGAAGAGGTCTTGTGCATCTTTCATTGAATTTATTCCAACATAATTTTTGCAATTAAAATTATTTTGTTTTCCAGTTCATCATTTCTAATATGTAAAAATTCAAATGACTTTTTAATATTGGTCTTATAATCTGTGACCTTGCTTCTGGTACCTTTTTGTAGATTTTTCTGGGTTTTCTATATACACAGTTATATTATCTGCCAATGAAGACAGAATTATTATTGTACCTCCTTTCTAATCTCTTTGACTTTTATTTCTTTTCTTCTATTGTACTGGCTAGGAACTCCAGTACAGTGCTGGGCGAGGTGGCTCACACCTGTAATCCCAGCACTTTGGGAGGCTGAGGAGGGAGGATCACTCGGGGCCAGGAGTTCCAGACCAGCTTAGGCAACAAAGTGAGACCTCCTGTCTACAAAAAAAAAAAAAAAATCAGTTGGTCACAGTGGTGCACAGCTGTAGTCCAGCTACTGGGGAGGCTGAGGTGGGAGGATTGCTTGAGCCCAGAAGTTTGAAATTGCAGTAATCTGTGATAGTGCCACTGCACTCCGATGTGGGTGATAGAGTGACACCCTGTCTCAAAACAAAACAAAACAAAACAAAAAGCAGTTGAATAAATTTTAGGGAAAGGAAAGTGTTCCATATTTCACCATCAAGTATGATGTTAGTTGTATATTTTTCATAGATGTCCTATATCAGATTGAAGAAATTCCCTTCTATTCCTGTTTTCTACTTTTTATTCTGGTTTTTTTCTTTGATTTTGAAGTATAAAATTTCTGTAATTATTATTTTGTACAGTAAGTATTCATTTAGATTTATCCAGCTATTTACCCATTCCAGTGTCTGTCATTCCTTTCTGCATTTCCAGACTTCCATGTGGCATCATTTGTTGTCAGGCCGAATGTTACTTCTATCCCATTCTTTCTAATCTTCTGGAACTCCGATTACATATATGTTTAATCTTTTGAGCAGTTTTCGAACATTGTTATTTGCTTACTTCAGCATCTTGATCGTCACTGTTCTATTTCTTTTTTTTTTTTTGAGGCTGGGTCTCGCTGTGTGTAATCTTGGCTCATTACAACCTTCGCTACCTGCGTTCAAGTGATTTTCCTGTCTCAGCCTCCCGGGTAGCTGGGACTACAGGTGTGCGCCACCACACCCAGCTAATTTTTGTATTTTTAGTAGAAACAGGGTTTCACCATGTTGGCCAGGCTGGTCTTGAACTCCTGACTTCGAGTGATCCGCCCCCTGGGCTTTCCAAAGTGCTGGGATACAGGTGTGAGCCACCATGCCTGGCCTGCTTCTATTTCGTTTATTTAAACAAATTTTGTTTCTTTATATGGCTTTGCCTTTGCATGGGTAGTAGTAATTTTCTATTGTTTATTGTATTATGTGTGAAAAGATTGTACAGACTCCATGCCAGATGAAGTTGATCATTTGAGGTCAATTTTACAGTAAACAGCTTTGAATAGTACATTGCTGACATTTCATATCAGACGTTTCTTAGTGCGGTGTTTCCAGGGAAACAGGGCTGGGTATAGTAGGGGAGCCTGACATTATCTTCCCACAGAGAAAGGGATTGACATTTTGTTAATTCTTTCTGCAAGCTTGGGCAAATCACTTAACTTTGGAACCTTCATTTCATTTTTTTTTTTTTTTTTCTGACACAGAGTTTCACTCTTGTTGCCCAGGCTGGGGTAAAATGGCGCAATCTCACCTCACTGCAACCTCTGCCTCCCCGGTTCCAAGGAATCCTGCCTCGCCCTCCCGAATAGCTGTTGGAATTACAGGCCACATGCCACGCACGCCCAGCTAATTTTGTAGTTTTAGTAAGATTGGGTTTTTCGATGTGTTGGCCAAGGCGGTCCTTGAAACGTCCTGACCTCCAGGTGATCTGCCCCACCTCGGCTTCCCAAGGTGCTGGGTTACAGCGGAAGCCACAATGCCCGGCCGCCTTTTTTTTTTTTTTTTAGTGATCTCATTCTTGTTGCCCAAGCTAGAGTGCAATGGTGTGATCTTGGCTCACCACAACCTCCACCCCTCAGGTTCAAGAGATTCTCCTGCCTCAGCCTCCCGAGTAGCTAGGATTACAGGCATGTGCCACCACCTCCGGCTAATTATGTATTTTTAATAGAGGTGGGGTTTCTCCATGTTAGTCAGACTGGTCTTGAACTCCTGACCTCAAGTGATCTGTCTGCCTCCAGCCTCCCAAAGTGCTGGGATTACAGGCGTGAGCCACCGTTCCTGGCTTTCATTTCTTAATTATAAAATTGAGTTAATAAGTAGTACCTACCTTATTCTTTGGGTTTATTTAGATATACATGATTAATGTTTAGCACATTGCCTAGTAAATAGTAAGAGCTCAATTAAACATTACCTCTCATCTTCATTATCACTGGAGATCTACGTAGTACTTAGAAAATTTGTGGATTACTGAATAGCATTGAGTTACTCCTGAAGAGAAGGGGCAAATTTGTTTCATTTGGGATGCATTACTGGCAGTTTTTTGTAGATCTTCTTGGATTGATTTATTTATTTGAGATGGAGTCTTGCTCTGTTGCCCAGACTGGAGTGTAGCGGCGCTATCTCGGCTCACTGCAACCTTTGCTTCCTGGGTTCAAGCAATTCTCGCGCGTCAGCCTCCCGAGTAGCTGGGATTACAGGCACCCGCCACCACGCCTGGCTAATTTTTGTATTTTTAGTAGAGATGGGGTTTCGCCATTTTGGCCAGACTGGTTTCGAACTCCAGACCACAGGTGATTCGCCCACCTCGGCCTCCCAAAGCGCTGGGATTACAGGCGTGAGCCACCATTCCCAGCCTTTTTTGTTATTTTTAAATTTGAGAGGACAAACTAGAGGACTAATTCTAGATTTTCTAGGTTTTTCCCTCTAATATAGACATTAGCATTTGCTGATTTTAGTCTGATTTTCCAAAATTGTAACTTAGAATAAATTTACTATTTAAAATACAATATTTGGAGGTTTCGTATTGTATCTATCTCTGTTTCTTTAAATATATTTTAATCTAGTTAGGTATGGTAGTGATTTCTTATAAAAGTAAATATTTTCTTATTTAACATATTGTTTCTTGTAGGAAACTTTGACGGAAATTTTGAGTCACTGGACCTTGCGGAATTTGCTAAGAAGCAGCCATGGTGGCGTAAGCTATTCGGGCAGGAATCTGGACCTTCAGCAGAAAAGTATAGCGTGGCAACCCAGCTGTTCATTGGAGGTGTCACTGGATGGTAAGTGATGTGAAAGATGTCCATTGTCTTTTGTGCATGATTTAGTATTGCAGTTATAGGTACCATCATCTCCTTTAACCAATGAAAACACATTGGCTTTTGTGAAATTGGTCACTTAATGTGTAGCGTGTGTCTAAACATCATCTTAAAGTGCCATTTAATGGTTATACATAATGATTGTTTGCTATATGCCAGGTTCTGTTTGAAGTATTTACATAGATATCTCATTTCCTTCTCATAACTCTGGAATTAGTACTGTTATTTTCTATCCTCATTTTATAGAAACTGAGGCTCAGAAAGATTAGTTTGCCCAAGGTCACATAGCTGGTAACTGGTAGAATAAAGAGCTAACTACTTATTAGCTATGTCAGTTGATAACTTAATATGATACAGCTTATGGTTTCATTTGTAATAAATTCAAAAAATGTTAATAGCAAATTTCATAGGTGAATATTGAATCCATTAATCTCATAGACTCTTTACATTTGAAAAATTTTATAGCACCATATAGCAAATATAGAACAGTGCATATAACAGATGTACATTTTAGCAAATACTTAGAGTGAACACCTATGTAACAACTGCTCAGGTTAAAAAAAATGTAGTGCACCCTAGAAACTCAAGAGGTTGTTATGCAGTTATTTCATTGCTTTTCTTTGTAGTTTTAACACCAGTTATGTCACTAAATAACATACTGTGGTTTACCTGGTTTCCAGATTAAAGTAAATGCAATCAGTATGTATTCTTTTGAGTCTTGCTTTTTTTGCTCAACCTGATGTTTCATATGTTCAACTACTTTGTGTATAGTTGTAGTTTCTTCACTTTCATTTGTATTTTGAGTTCCATTATATGACTATACCATAGTATATTGATCGAGTTGATGACTGATATTTGAGTTGCTTCCATTTTTGGCTAATACTATGCTGATATGAGTATTAGATTTCCCGGTGTATATATGCATACATTTCTGTAGGGTCTGTACCTAGAAATTGCCAGGTAATGGGTATAGGTATCTTTAGCTTCACTAAATAATGTCAAACCACCTTCCAAAACTGTTTTTAACAGTTTACAGTCCCAACAAGGACTGAATGAACCTGTTGTTGTACATGGCGGCACTTGATTTTGCCAGGTTATTAAATTTTTTAAAAATTAGTTAATTTTTCCTTAGCAAGGTAATCCAATTAAATCCAGACTGTTAACATTTTGCCAAGTCTGGTAGTTAGGTAGTAGTATTTCATGGTGGCTTCATTTACATTTCCCCGAGTAGGAGTGACATTGATCAACTTTTACGTATGTTTGTTGACCATTTGGATCTCCTCTTTCAGTTCCACTCTAGTCTTTTTCCTCTAAAGTTGTCATTCTTTCCCTTGTTAAGCTGTAAGAGTTCTTTATATATTCTGAATATTCTCAGTCCTTTGTTAGTTGTGTGTATTACAGATATTTTCACTCATTCTGTGGTTATCTTTTCATTTTATGGTATCTTTTGATGAACTGAAGATCTTATTTTTAATATAGTCAATTTTATCAATCTTAACCTTAATGGTTAGTGATTTTTATGACTTATTTAAGTAATCTTTGCCTACCCCATGTTTCAGAACTTTTATTATTTGACCTTTCACATTTAGATTTATTATCCACCTGGAATTGTTTTTGTGCTCAGTATGTGGTAGATTCCTCTTTTCTTCCCCATATGGAATACCCATTTGTCCCAACTTAATTTATTGCAAAAGCTATCCCTTTCCCTGTTGCTTTATGTGAGTGTGTGTGTGTGCATGCATATTTGTGTGTCTGCTATCTTATTCTTTAGGAACATCTTGGCTATTTTCTTTATCTCTTAGTTTTTAAGTTTAATAAATAGGTATATTATAAGTTGCACATATTTAAAGTATACAATTTGATACATTTTTACATATGTACATGCCCATAAAACCATCACCACAGTCAAGATAATGAACATATCTATCACTTCAAAAGCTGCTTTGTACCTCTTTGTAATCCCACGCTCTTTCCTTCATGCCATGCTCCCACCACTGATCTGCTTTCTATTACTATAGATTACTTGATGTTTTCTAGATTCTTTTTAGAAGTGGAATTACATACTATATATTCTTTTTTGCCTGGCTTCTTTTATTCACCATAATAATACATTTTTTTGTTTTGAGATGGAGTCTTGCTTTGTTGCCCAGACTGGAGTGCAGTGGCGCGATCTTGGCTCACTGCCTCCTGGGTTCAAGCAATTCTCCTGCGTCAGCCTTCGCCATAATAATTTTGAGATAATCTGTACTTTTCTGTTTATCAATAGTTCATTCCTTTTTATTGCTAAGTAGTACTCTGTTGTATGGATGTACAACAATCTGTTTCTCCATCCGCCTTTGATGCACATTTGAGTATTTTTTTTTTTCATTGTTTGGCTATTACAAATAAAACTTCAAGTTTGTGTCCAAGTCTTTGTATGAACATATGCTTTCATTTCTTTTGGGTAAATATCTAGGAATAGTATGGCTGAGTCACGTAGTAAGTGAATGTTCTAAATTTACAAGTACCTGCCAGTTTTTAAAGTGCCTGTATCATCTTACATCTCCACCAGCAATGTGTGAGGGTTCCAGTTCCTCTGCATCCTCACTAACACTTGGTATTATCTTTTTGATTACAGCCATCTTAGTGGGTATGAAGTTGGATCTCATTGTGGTTTGAATTTGCATTTCTCTAATGACTAATGATGTTGAACATTTTCATGGGCTTATTTTTTGCCATTCGTATATCTTTGGTGACTTATTTGTTCAAATCTTTTCCACATATTTTTATTGGGTTGTTGGTTTTCTTTCATTGCTGAATTGTGAGAGTTCTTTAAATATTCTAGATAGAAGTCTTACATATGTGATTTGCAAATACATTACTTCTGTGTAGCTTTTCATTATCTGAACTGTACCTCTAATAGAGCAGAAGTTCTTAATCTTGAAGTGCAACTCTTTTGTAGCTCCAGCTTTTGGTGTCATGTCTGAGAATATTTGCTTAATCCAGGGTCACCAAGATTTTCTCTCGCTTTTTCTAGATGGTATATAGGTTCAGATTTTATATTTAGTTCTGTGATCAATTTTGATTTACTTTTTGTATATGGTATAAGGTAGGAATCCAAGCTTTTTTTGCATATGGATATCTAGTTGTGCCCACATTTGTAAAAAAGACTATCTTTTTCTCCACTGAATTGCCTTTACACCTATGTTGAAAATCAGTTGACTATATGTTTTTGAGCTCTTTGTACTGCCAAATTGTTTTTCATCAAAGCTATTTTGAGTATTCTAGGTATTTAGCATTTCCATGTGAATTTTAGAATTAGCTTGGTGCCAGTTTCTGCCAGACATCTGATGAGATTTTGACTGGGATTGCATTGATCCATAAACATTGGTGTCTCTCTCCAGTTTGTTTAGGTTTTCTTTAATTTCTCTCAGCAATGCTTGTAGATCTTACACATCTTATATCAGATTTATCCCTAAGTATTTCATATTTTAAAAATTTTTTAACAGTAAAAAGATACAAATTAACTCAGCCAAGGGAAGAGGCACATGGAATAGGGTCCTGTGGAGTCTTTATATTTCTTTCTTTCTTTTTTTTTTTTGAGACATAGTCTTGCTCTCTCACCCAGGCTAGAGTGCAGTGGTGTGATCTCGGCTTACTGCAACCTCTGCCCTCCGGGTTCAAGCAATTCTCCTGCTTCAGCCTCCCAAGTAGCTGGGACTACAGGTGTGAACTGTCACCCCAGGCTAATTTTTGTATTTTTAGTAGAGTCAGGGTTTTGCCATATTGTCCAAGCTGGTCTCGAACTCCTGACCTCAAATGATCTGCCTGTCTTGGCCTTCCAAAGTGTTGGGATTACAGGCATAAGCCTCCACACCCAGCTGAGTCTTTACATGTAAAGTAGGTTTCTTGTAGTTTCCATATAGGTGGTTGTTAATTTTTTAGAATCCAATTTGACAATCTCTTCCTTTAAATTAGGGTGCTTAGACTATTTACATTTAAGTTTATTTTAAAAATTCTTTTAATTGACTAGTAAAAATTGTAGGCTGTGTGCAGTGGCTCACACCTTTAATATCAGCACTTTGGGAGGCCGAGGCGGGTGGATCGTTTGAGCTCGGGAGTTTGAGACCAGCCTGGGCAACATGGTGAAACCCCATCTCTACAAAAAATACAAAAATTAGCTGGGCGTGGTGGTGTGCACCTGTAGTGCTAGTTACTTGGGAGGCTGAAGTGGGAGGACGGCTTGAACCTGGGAGGCAGAGGTTATAGTAAGCCAAGATCGTGCCACTGCACTCCATCCAGCCTGGGTGACAGAATGAGACCCAGTCTCAAAAAGGAAACAAAACAACACAAAAATTGTATATAATTGTATATACATGATGTTTTGATATATGTATACATTGTGGAATGGCTAAATCAAGCGATTTAACATGTATTACCTCACATACTTACCATGTTTTTGTGGTGAGAACACTTAAAATCTACTCTTGTACCTATTTTCAAATATATAATATGTTGCTATTAACTGTAGTCACCACGATATACAGTAGATATCCTACACTTCTTTCTCCTAACTGGAATTTTTGTGTCCTTGACCAACATTTCCCCAACCGCCCACCCCACAACCTTTGGTCACCACCATTCTCTATTTCAATGAATTTGTCATTTTTAGATTCCACATATAAGTGAGACCATTTGGTATTTGTCTTTCTTTGCCTGACTTATTTTACTTAGCATAATGTCCTACAGGTTAATCCATGTTGTCACAATGTCAAGATTTCCTTTTTAAGGGTCGAACAGTATTCCATTATGTAATATACCACATTTTCATTATCCATCTGTTGATGGACGCTTAAGTTGTATGTATCTTGGATATTGTGAATAGTTGCAGTGAACATGGGAATGCAGATACCTCTTTAATGTACTGACTTCATATCCTTTGGCTGTATACCCAGTAGTGTGATTGCTGAATCATATGTTATTAG